CGGGGGGCCGGCGCCGCGCTGGGGCTTCTCCGCCGGGCTGCGGCCGCCGCTCGTGGGGACTGCGCCTGCCGGAGCTCCCAAGGCTGGACGCGAGCCATCGCCCAGCAAACACCGGGTAGTTCATGTGCATCAGTGTGCTTCCCTGCAATAGTTGTGTGACCTGCCCTCCGCCTTTTTGATGCATCATCCTGAGGTTGGGGGTCCCTCCTCGCCCCTGTTGTTGCAGCCTGAAAAGCAGCGCCTGGCACGGGGAAGGCATTTAAGGATTTCGGGGTGGGCCAGAGAGGGGTTAGAGCGAGGAGTGCAGTGATCAGCATCTCCCGTGCCATGATCTCGTTTGGTTGTTATTGGCAGGGCACCCTGACACGCGGCTGGCTGGTGGGAGAAGCCTCCGATGGCTTGCATGGAGCTGCTGTACCTCGCCAAGGAGGCCAGGCGATCCGATCTGTGCAGCAACGTGGACTGGAGCGTGTGTGCCTCTCCCTCCGAGCCGCACGGCAGGGGCAACGGGAGTGCGAGAACGACCACGGCAGTGGCAGCTCTCTGCTGCGAGAGGCACTGCAAGTCCACACAGAGGGCAGCCCTAGCAGGTCCCACCCAGGCACCTGTGCGCACCACTCCTACCTCCTTCGCCTCTGGGCCGTGTCCCGAAGCATTGGGCAGCACCCAGCCCTGCTGCCAGCCACCTCCCCTGGATGGAGACGAGGAGGCAGACAAGAAGAAAGCCTGCTGCTGCGCTCAGGAACTAGAGACCTCATTTACTTACGTGGATGAAAATGTCAACCTGGAGCATCCAAAAAGCACCCCTTCTGTTGTGAGCAGCTGCTGCCAGGGCCAGGACCCCCCTGCCCAGGACAGTTCTTGCAGAGAGATCCCACTGGAGTGGGTTCGTGATTCTCCCTCTCTGATCTCTGAGGAAGAGGATGATGCTGCCTCGGAAGCTGCCTCAGGGAAATCTATAGATTATGGGTTCGTTAGTGCCATCTTGTTCCTGGTTAGTGGAATTTTGCTAGTGATTATTTCCTATTTGGTACCCAGAGATGTGACTGTGGATCCTAACACTGTAGCTGCCAGGGAGATGGAGAGACTGGAGAACGAGAGCGCTAGAATCGGAGCTCACTTGGATAGGTGTGTGATCGCAGGTCTGTGTCTCCTAACTCTGGGGGGCGTGGTGCTGTCCAGTTTATTAATGATGTCTATGTGGAAAGGGGAGCTGTACAGGAGGAGTAGATTCGCATCCTCCAAGGAGTCTGCAAGGCTGTATGGGTCTTTCAATTTCAGAATGAAATCGGGCCCCAATGATAACACGCTGGAGTTATCATTAGTGGAAGAGGATGCACTGGCTGTAGATAATTAGTGTGGTCGTGATTTCTCAGGCAGCACTTGTACAGAAAAGGAAGTTTTATTCGGAAAGCAAGGACAGCTCAAGATAGCTAGTAATGCAGTTTTTGCCTGACAGGAAAGGTTTTCCTTTAAAGTTTATAATTGATTTTTTCCATTGTATGGATACTTGTTCTTAGGAAAAACATGCAAGGGATGATATAATCAATATAAGATACACTTTCTGGTGAAAGCAGTGAATACAGATTTGTGATTGCCAGGTTCTTTAAATGCTCTTTTATCCTGCTATAAAATATACGCCTCAGTGTCTTTCCTGGGATCACCCCAACACAGAGCACTAACATCCTGCCTCCCTAGAAGCTGTTATTGTATCAGCCTACATAAGGCTTATTAACAGTCTACTTGGTAGATGTGCTAAGGGATATGACCAATAATCAAGTTGCAAGACTGACATTTAATTAAGGATGACAGTCTTTTTTTTATATACTTTCATTTTTAAGCTGCCCTCTTTTCTTGCTGTGACTGGCATGAGTGCATCATGCATTCATTTACCACAAATATCTCTTCTGCCCAACTAATAGCATAATTAGTGATGATTATTAAAATATAGAATAGAAGGTAATGGGCACTGAATTAAATGGCTCAGGGCTTTGATAAAGGGCCTTTCTTCTTTAGGTCATTGGTTCAACTGCAACTACAATCCATAGTGTTGGGAAAAATGTTAACTTCCATGACTGCTAACTCCTGTGAAGTTAGTTTAGTGGATAGATGCTGGACACCTGTCCTGATAGGACAACTACACTGCCATAACTTGACATCTATTGAGCTCTTTTTGGGAGTCTCAAAAGTGCTGAAGACTTAAGTAGGATGGAGATGGGGATAGAACAGTTTTCTCACAAAGTACCTCCTTGGAAGAGGTTTGTGGCAGGAAGCAGGACTCTGCTTGTTGTGAGGTTGTCCATATCATCTGTCCTCTTCAGCTGTAGCTTTTAATCCACTATGGCTACAAACCCTTCCAGTTTCCCAAGAAGTTAAAAAAGCAAGGTGTTGTATTTTGCATGGGTCAGAAAATAGCTTTCTGTGCTACTTCAGTTAGCAGCCTATTTCTTTATCAGCTGCTTTAAAAAGTCAGTGTCACAGGGAGAAATGTTAGGTATCCAGCCACTGAATGACAGATAATGAGTTCATACATTGTAGCAAGTCAAAGATAGGTGATATTATTAGTGACATGGGTAGCGCAGTGGCCAAAAAATTAAACTCTAAAGGAAACTATTGTCAGCCATCTTCTGGGGAAGGCTATAGTAGTTGTGTTTTATATCTTTTGTTTGGGGGAAATAACAAAGAAACAAACAGCATACATGGTAGAGGTGACTAGACTGATGCTTGCAAGCCACATGAGGCTCCTGGAAAGTTTCATTGTGGCTTCTGAAGAAACTTAATCTAACAGCAAACCATTATTTGTGCTGGGGTGCTGTATGGGTGCTGTGTGGTGTGAGATCCGGGAGTGTGTCCAAGAGTCCTTGGCTGCATCGAGGTTTTGGTTTACTGCAGAGCGTTAGGAGGTTTGGTCACCCTTGTTATATAACAATATAATTTTTCATTTACTCCAGTTGGGCACATTCTGATCCACTGACAAGACCCACTGGTCCATTGGTTTAAAAATGGTGAATTATTATTAAAATAAACCCCCTCAAATAAGTGCCATTCTGACTTCTTAAATCTATTTGCATTTTGAATGCATCTCAGAGGAATCAGCCTCTCATCTGAGGCTGAAACCTGAAGTTGTTTTGACTTTGCTACCTCAGAGCTAGGGTGTACAGGCTGTCAGTATTTCCACTTCAGTCTTGCATGAATAGTCCAGATCATGACTACTGCTATTCTCTAACACGGAGTAGCCCACAGCTACAGCTAAGCTGTCTTAGCAGAGGGTGTCGAAAGTAAGCATCTACTTTAAAGCCCAGGAGGTGAACACTCAACAGTGTGGGACTCAAAACAACTGAATAAGAAGATATTCTTTATACTTGAACTGTGCTCTGATTAGGTATGTTTGGGAAGCAGCTTGCCACCTTAGCTCTTTCTTTTAATTCTGTAATATTGCAGTGTGTTTTTCAGTTAGTATAAATAGATTGCAGACCCCTTCCTTCTCATCTCTTTATGGGTGAAGTTGCATGTTACACCTAGACCAAACTAAGGGCACTTAAAATGCAAGCATCCACACATTAAAGCTCATTAACTTGTGCTAAGGGCCCTCTGAACACTTCAATGTTATGCCGCTTAAGACCAGGGCGAACTCTGGGCTGTGCTACCTGACTCATTTTAGACTAACTTCAGTCTGCTCCACAGAGATAAAATGAGCTATTTTCAGTTCTCCAGCACCCCTGGATGCATTACTCCCAGCCTCCTCTCCACCCAGAGCCGGGTTAGAGTCCAGGTGTCCTGGCTCCTAGCTGCATCCATGCACACCAGCCCTTTAGTGGCAAATCAGAGCTGTGCAGGCAAGAAGCACTCTAGAAACAGTCCTAACCCTTAACACGAGACTGCTCACAGCGTATTCTGACTTTAGCACCAGTTAACATTCTGTCGATTTAGTAATGTGTACCATCGCCCTGTGTTATGGTGGGAAGCAGGGAGTCCTGAGGAAGAACACTGAGGAGTCTATTATCCGCTACAGGTCCATTATACCCGTCTCTCTGGCTGCTCCATATCACGAGTTAAATGAAGGACATGTATTTAATGCTGAGCTGGGGTCAGCCTTTTTTGTTCTGTTAATCCTGTGTGCTTGCATTCACACAGGATTATGAAGCAGTGTTTACCCAGTTAATAGATTTAGACATCCGGAGGAATCTATATCGCTTTTTCCTAAAGGCCCACTGACTGACACAGCAGCCATCTTACAGACAGCCAGAAGGATCTGAACTCATTCCTGTTTTCCTACTGTTCATATTACGTTATTTGTAAGTAATGTTGTATTGTTCTGGTGCTTTAATGTTGGCTCGGAAATAGAGATGCCACTTAAAATGTTATGGCATGCAGACTGTCATTTCCTTCATTGTTTTGTAGTTTTGGGGACAGATATAAGGCCATTGTAACAGGAGAACAGTGGGCCATGCCCACATTCCAGAAGTGCGTGTTTGTGTGTGAGGGCTGGGATTCACCAGGGTAAGCATCTAAACACTGGTTTTAGGGGTCATTCCTGTGGCCATGTGGATGTGCCATCATTAATCTAGTTCTTACCAGGAGTAAATTTCAAAAATCAAAAAGAGCTTCTACATCCATGTAAAGGGTGGTGCTTTGGCCCATCTGAATCCAGAAGAATGATGAACAGAGATGATAAAAAGAACTGTAATATGGGTAGGGAAGTTTTTTCCCTGCCCACCCTGTCCCCCAGGTAGATGACAGTCTGCTCCTGGCCCTTACCGGCAGCAGCATGCTACTCAGACAATGCTTCCTCTCAGTGATGGTTGGCAGTAGCATAACTAGGGATGGGTGAGCAGAGCACCAGCCCTGCATGCCAATTTAGAGGGGATGGCAGAATGGTCCCATGTGGGGAGACTGCTTTTCAGCTGTATCAGCCCACACCTGGCAGCAGCTGTAATAGCAGTTCATATGCTGTAAAACTCTCTGGCACTTGGCATTTCCCTTCTCTCCACTCTTGGGTGCAAATTCCTCTCTGCCTAGGGTGCCAAATTCCTCTGCTGCTTACACCTCTAACAGTTGGGGTGTGATGCCCACTACATAGGGATGGTGGTGTTTTAGTGGGGTTACTTAGCCCTATATGTCCAGGTTTGAAGCCCAATGAAACTACACTGTAGGAGGTGGGTAAGGCAGAAGACTACTGTATCTCCATAGCCTCTGTCTATCTGAGCTTCCTAGGACAGAAGCTAACATTTACAGAGAAGCTCCATCCAGCAAAGCTTAAACAGGCTTTTTTCCACTGGCCGATTGGGACCATTTGTTGAAAGGGTGCAGAAAGTTGCTAGCCTCCATGGGCACATGCAGTGCATCACACTTAGTCTGATGTGAGGCCTCTAGCCAGAAATTAATTGCTCTGAATTTTTGATCACACTGGAAAAGGTCTGAAGCAGAGGCTAGTAATTTTTCAGATCTGTTGTTTTTATTGTTTTTAATTAGACCTACATGTAAAATTGGAATATGTTTTTATAGCCACAAAAATACAGTAGCTGAAGCTATAAAGTTCCCAAATCCCTTATAAGAACCATGGCATGCCTTAATGTTTGTTGTTAGCACTGGGAAAGAAAATATTTTCCATACTGTATCATGTGAGAAGTTTTCTGACTCTTTGCAAAATCCTGTCACCAATCATGAGTGAACGGTTTTTCAAGAATCCTCAGGGTTTCCATAAATGTTTTAAGGAAGAAAAGCTAATAAAATGGCCTCAGTCTACACAGCAAAATCGGGGAAATCCAAAAACATAATTAATGTAGTTTACATGGTTTCTTTCTTTTACAATATTGTTTACTACAGAAAAGGGAAAGTGAGGCTTTCAAGAGGGGGGAGCACCTGGGGTAGGAAATAAAGTATTATGACATTTTCTCAATCCCAGGTTGCAGGGAGTGAATGATGGGCTCATAAAACATTTCACTTTTAGGTCTCTGGTTCTAATGTAGCACAACATGCTAGAGACCAAAACCTGTTACTGATGGCTGGTGGTGGCCAGTAGTTTTTAGTTTCAATCCAATTGTTCACATCCACATCACAGTGGATAAATGTTCACATCACAAAAATAACCTCTAACCCCAAGCAGAAAGTCTCAGCAAGGTCTAAGGATTAAACAGCATGACGAGTGAATCGCCCCTTCCTATGCAGAGGTGGCTCAAGTGCTCCTGCTCAGAGCTAATGGAAGAGAAGGGGCAGCCTGGGGAAGTTTACCATCACTGTCCACATACCCTGCCAAGGTCAATGGGAGCCTCCATTATTTGGGTTTATAAATCTGGCATTTTACATGTATACCAAATTTTTCCCAGCTGGATCTAGGAGGCTGAGTAAAACTGGGAGGCACTGGGACAATAAATCAGGATGTGCCCGCCACCCTCTACTAAAAGACAGACCAGTCGAAAGATAAGTTGTGGACAAAGACTCGGCTTAATCCCAGATCTTTCCCATTTACCAGTTCTCTCTTGCATGGCCAGACCTAAGATCCAGGTAGTCTGCATAAGCTATTAAAGGGATTCTTACTCTCCAACTACTGCCAGGCCTGCAGATGTTGTCCAGGTCAGAAGCTGACTTTAAGAATAATCAAAATTAGAATTTAACCTGCAGCTCAGTTTTACCCATTTGTCCACAGGGGTAGTTTGGGGTTGTTTTTTTCCTTTCTTTAATTAGAAACTGGTGAGCAATACTAAACTGCATAAAGCCTACTAGGGAGTATTGCAAAACGAGGACCATCATAAAATGATCTTTGGTTCTGTTACATAGTTTTGGTAACCACCCTGTTTACCCAGGGACAGCCAGCCTTATTTTCTCACTGCCATCCTCTAATGCTAGACCTGAAGCCTAGAAAATCATTTTAAGCTCTCTCCTGGAAAGCCCTTCTGGGTTGTTGCTGTTTTAATATGTTTACAGTTTTTAATCTTTTTAATTATTTTAAAACTCTGTAGTAAATAATGTTTACCAACTGGGAAAATGACTGACTTAATTTTGTAAACCTGCATTTTGAACTGCTACAGGGCAAAATGTTACAGTTAATGTGAGCTTTTCAATAGTGCATTTGATGCCTTATTATAATAGTAATGGTGTTCTGTACAAGTGTAAAATAAAAAAAATGTAAAGTTAATTTTGTCGTTATCACTGTTGTCTTATTCCTTTGCTAAGATGTACTTGGTAATCTGAGTAGTTGTATCTTCTTACTGCTAAACAACATATCCAGTAATAAGGATTATTTTCAGTAACCTGCTACCACCTCACATCTATTTAGAGAATGACTCCACCCACTCAAGTCAGTAGGGGTTATGTTAATGACTTTGGTGGAAACAAGAGTCAACTCTGCAAAGGGGACTCTGGCTCGGTGATACAATCTTAACTCCTAGAGATCGTGAGATCGTGCTTCTTAGTGGAAGCCTTGCCCGGAATCCGGTGCCCAGTTTTAGTAGAGGATGCACAGAGAACACAGGTAGTGTTAGGCACCTCCAGTGGGATTTACAATACCTAAGCTAGGAGCCACCATGCTGGCCAATAGGAAATGGGAAGGAGGGGGATGAAACTGAAACTCCACCCATCAGAGTTAAGTGTCAGTTTTCCCCATAACCCAGGTAAGTGCTCTAACCATGAGACCAGTGCTGCTACCTCCTTTCTCCTGATTTTGTGTAGGGTCTGATCTAGGAGGCAGGCTTTAAGGATGCTCCGTGGCTCAGGCAAGGTAGGAACACCTAGTTTTGGTCCTTAAAAGCCCTGTTGTATAGCATTTTCTCTAGTAAAAGTATAGGAGTGCCACTACTTCATTTCCCAGACAGGGAAAAGATGACCTTTGTTACTCTTTTGCAGTGTCTACCCCCTATGGGGGTTTTCAGTACTACTATTCTAGACAGTATAAAACCCATTTTGTTACATCCTTGCAGATGGCAGGAAAATTGAACTAAGATTAAATATAGCCCACTGGATACATTTTTGACAATTAAGAAGTTAAGACAGTAGCATATGTATAGATAAGAAAATCTATCAGCTTAAAAATCTAAAAAGCTCCCTAAAATAAATGCTGAGATTTTACTGCTACTGCTTCTTTCTCGAACCCTACTTTTTAACATTTTGAAGTAATATGTGAGATCACATGGAACTTGTGTCTTTCTATCAAGGTCAGGAATCAGCTGTGAAGTGAGACATTTCTTCTTCCTCTGTAAGTTTAATTGAAACAGCTAATGTTTTTAATTTGCATCCCTTTCATAAAAACTGACAAGACAAATCTTTTTTGAAAGTAATCTGGTTTATATTTATTTTAGAAGCAGAAATATTTCTATTTACTTGGTCCAAGTACTGGAAACTTGATAAAGAGTGCACGTATTTATTGGATTTTCACTGTGAAGATTTGAGCTTTAACATGGCTTTAGAGAGTGAAATAGTTTTGCAGACTCACTGTATCAATAAAATGCACACGAGGTTTTGCTCATTTATGCGCAGATTCTTCTACCTTTTCATGTGCAAAAGAGAATATTCAGCTGATCTTCCAGAAATCAGCTGGACAACATGTGAGACCACAATCTGTACCTGGTTTCTGGCGTTCTTACGCAAGTACTGCTCAAGGTGTAA